AACAACCCTTCCCAGGGGTGAAACAGAGATACCCCATAATCCTGCCTGTAGCATCCATTCTTATACCCTTGCAGCAGCACAGAGATCAGACATTTCCATTTGTGATGGAAATGCTTCCATTCACCTAAATGAGTGGTGAAAAACCGCTCCAATTAGCATTGGAGACCTGTTACTTTACAGTATGAGCTGAGGATAGGAAATGCATGTAGAGACCACAGTGATATGCAAAGTACTATCAAGTATTAGAAGAAAGCACTTGAGAAAGGTAACTGAGCATTTTGCACATGATCTGTTCTCTCACGAGCTAATGCAAATCTATTTGCCAGTCCGTGTAAGCAAAAAAGTTCAGGGAAAACCATACAAGGCAAACCCAGTTCTTTTCTGAGTTTGGGATGTGCAAAGCTGTGGGAGATGCTGTGGCTGTATCAAACCCTGTGAACCAGGTTTGACCTGGGAAATGTAAAAGAATGTATGGGATCTGGTGGTTCAGAGTTGTGTGTCGCTTGCACGTTATTGTTTTTTTCCCATTAGTTGTCATTTAAATATTTCTTGAAAAAAGCCTGGATCTTTGGCCAAGCATGAACCTGAGCTTTAGAATAAGCCACAGGCTCCCCACCCAGGATTGCTCGCTTGTGAAAAAGGGGGTGGTTTCCCCGGGGGTACAAGGGGAAATATGGAGGGTCAATGCAGTGGCCTGTTCCAGGGTAGGAGAGAATCTGAAAATTTTCCTTCCCTTGAGCCTGCAGAAGCTTGCAGACTTCCGTAGCATAATACTCACTTTTGAGAACATGGTCATCTTGTCCCACGATGAACAGCAACTGTGCCTCAGCTTTCTCTAGTGGGATCAGGCTTTGGTTGCCAGGGGCTTGAAAGGCATCAAGAGCAACGTCAGAATAATCAAGGATATTGGAATCAATGACCTTGATCTTTTCATTATTGAATGGCAAACAGGGGATGGTTTTATCCTTGTACCGGAGAGGAATAGAGGTAATGGCCACAGAACCATTGAGGGATGCAACGGCTGTGATGTTCTTCAGGAAGGCAGCCATGGCGAGAGACAGATCAGCTCCTTTGGAGTAACCGAGCAGTCCGACCCCTGGTCCCTTCACCTGGTAGACAGGAGGAAATCCCCATCAGCAGTGAGCTGGGAAACACAAGAGCTCAGCTCATTCCTGCTGGGGAACGTTGTATAATGCCGAGAGTTTGCAAAACACTGTGAAGGAGGTGGTGGCAGTGATCAGTTTTTCTGCTGGACAAGTGTCTAGCACACTTCACCCTTCAAATCTCTGCCTTTGATAACGTTCCCTGGTGGTCTGACATCAGCCAAGAGAGAGGGAACTCGATTACACCGATTTGAGGACAGGTTGTAGGACAGAGCTAAGAGCTATTAGTCTCAGACACGGGCAGATGCTCTTTCCTTTTCACTTTTAAGACTATCGGAGTTCATGTTGGTGGCAACTGGTGAAGGCTGTCTCCTGCACAACCGTCCCACCTTGTTATGTCTCAGCTGTCTCTAATGTGGGGTTGCTTTGTGATCTCTCTCCACCACTCTCCCAGTGCGTATGCTTTTGAGCCTGCCTCTTCCCTAGGACTCGGGCAGCCAAAGTGCTGGCAGAGGACAGCCATGCCAGGGAGTATTTTGGCAGTTTCCTCCAGAGAGAAGTCAGTGACCGGCACTTTGGAGAAGTGGCTCCCTGGAGCCCTGGGGACATGGATGGTGCTCCTACCTGTGGGTGCTGCAGCATATAGTTCACCGCCTCGTCAAAATATTCCAGGTGGAGTTCGGTTGGCTTCTGGGGCAGATCCTCATATTGATAATAAGCCAGGGCCAGCGTGGCAAAGCCATGGTTGGCCAGGAGGCTGGCTCTGTGCTCAAGAAGACCTCCTCCAAGTCCATGTATGTCAATGATCCCTGGAAAGGGGTCTTCTCCTGGAGCAGACAAGAAAAAGACCTGTATTACCTGAAATGACTCCTTTCAATGTTTCTCTGTTTTAGAACGCATCAAACCGGGTACACAAGAGGAACTGCAGGAAAGCATTTTTGACATGATCGAAGAAGATTAGTCCCTCAGCAGTGTGATGTCAGCAGCTGACAAAACTCTACGGTGTGTTGCAGACGAAAATGGCTTAGGAGCAGAACCTCTTGGGTAAGGTACAAACCCTTATTTGTTTTAGCAATCGGCAGTATTTCTGCAGTGTGGTTTGGGCTGACAGGCACATGCTGTTTTGTGAAGGTGTCTTGCCCCGGTTTCTCTCTTTAAGTAGCCCTGTAACAATGACCGCTTTTTCTGGCGCTGTAAAAATCCTCAGGGTGTCAGTCAAAGTCTCATGGAGATGAACCAGCAGCTCCTGAGGTAGTCGAAGTCAACAGAGAAACACCTGTAAGACACTTCATAGGGTGTTCCCCTAAGATGGTGGCACAGCCAACAGCCCAGCTGAAGTTCCTCTAGACAAATGTACACAGCATGGACACTAAACAGGAGGAGCTGGGAGCTACTGTGCTGCTAGAAAGCTATGATATAGTGGCTGTCACTGAAACCTGGTGGGATGAATCCTATGACTGGAGTGTGGCTATTGAGTGCTACAAGCTGTTCAGAAGGGACAGGCAAGGAAGGAGGGGTGGAGGTGTTGCTCTATGTTAAGGAATGGATAGAGAGTGAAGAGATCTCCCTAAAGCCCTCCCTGGGTTCAGATGAAGAGAAAGTTGGGAGCTTGTGGGTGAGGATTAAGGGGCAGGCCAATATGAGGGACACTGTTGTGGGTGTTTATTACAGGCCATCTGATCAGGATGGGGAAGTTGATGAGGCCAGTTGATAACGACAAACCTGATCAGAGCATGTACAACATATTTGTTATAAGCATTCATTCTATTAAGTTAATAGTTGCTGGTTACAACGTTGATTTATTTGCTCTCAAAGTTGTTGTGCTTGTTGTCAGGGTTGTGTTTTGTGATACATTTCCTGCTGTATATTTTCCCTGTTGTGTTGTTTATTATCCCTGGGAAGGGGGCCAAGTGTAAAATTTTGCTGTACTTTGTAAGGCGGGTTCATGATTTGATAAAATCATGTGTGCTGTGTCTGTGCTCGGTAGCAGTGGAAGGCGGAGCGCAAGGCAAACGGCAGTGGCAGTTCATCTCCATTCTTCTGGAGTCATCTAGCGAAAACCATTAGTAATTACACTTTTTACCTTTTCAGAGAACTAACCTGTCGGGCAGACACCTTCCTTCACCTCCCCCTTCTCCTCCAGGCTAATTACAACAGTTCTTGAGAATTTTCATAGAATCATAGAATCCTCTAGGTTGGAAGGGACCTTCAAGATCATCTAGTCCAACCATCAACCTAACTCTGACAAAAAAAACATCACTAAACCATGTTCCCCAGCACCACGTCAACCTGTCTTTTGAACACCTCCAGGGATAGTGCCTCAACCCCTTCCCTGGGCAGCCCATTCCAATGCTTGATAACCCTTTCAGTGTAAAAATTTTTCCTGATATCCAACCTGAACCTCCCCTGGTGCAACTTGAGGCCATTTCCTCTTGTCCTGTTGCCTGTGACTTGGGAGAAGAGACCGACCCCTGCCTCTCTACACCCTCCTTTCAGGTAGCTGTAGAGAGCAATAAGGTCTCCCCTCAGCCTCCTTTTCTCTAGGCTGAACAACCCCAGCTCCCTCAGCCTCTCCTCATAAGACTTGTGCTCCAGACCCCTCACCAGCTTCGTTGCCCTTCTCTGGACCTGCTCCAGCACCTCAATGTCTTTTTTTTTGTGGTAAGGGGCCCAAAACTGCACACAGTACTCGAGGTGGGGTCTCAGTAGTGCCGAGTACAGGGGGACAATCACCTCTCGAGTTCTACTCACCACACTTTTGAATGTCTGTGGGATGCTCAAACCAGCCTGCTCCTTTTTCTAGGTCTTCTGATGCTTTGTGTTGATCAACTATTTAGAAATACCACCCTGTCTGCTACCAGCACTCGGTGTGGTTGCACATGCACTATTCCCACCTCATCAATGAACACTGTGGCCACTTCAACCTCTGCAATGAGCATTGTGGCTACTCGAACCCCAGTGACAGGCTCTGTGGCTACTGAAGCAGAGAACCAATCCATGCCAATACCTGTTGCCCTGATATAGAAGAAAAAGTACACAAAATAAATAGATCACAGGGGTGAAGATGAACCAGGGTCATCACGAGAACAGGATTCTTAACCCTGGCTGAGCTATGAGATATGCAGGAAGGTTTCAGTCATTGTCGAAGCGAGCACAGTGTCACCTGGCTGCTCCAATGCTGGGATAATGGGACCGGTGGCTTGGAATTGGAGGGTAGGCAAGCCAAGCAGCTGGGATCCCTGTCTAGGGAAGGGGGTATTGACAAGATGATTAGTAAAAGGTCACAAACCCTCAGATTCTGGAGGTGACTCCTGTTAGCTGTAATGGAAAGATATCCCTTCAAGGAAGATATATGTCACCCAGGCAAATGGGCCATCATGGAGAGAAGTATACAATGTCTGAGGGAATTAGCTTTGCAGGAGCTAATTTATTATGGCCTGGACAACTGGCAGTCAGCCACAGATCTAGATGAAATCCCAATGTACCTGATATGTATGGTGGAAATTTGTACAGAGCACACCATCGTATGCCAGCTCGTTGGTAGCAACGGGCTGGAAAGACGAAGAGGCACCAATGGTGGATGTAGTTGCTGGCCAGCTCCGGCAACATGAAGAAAACCTCTCTGCTTCCCTATGGGCTTGTGTCTTGGCTGTGGAAAGACTGTCCAGGAAATCTGAAAACCTGTTTGAAAAACTGTTCTGGGAGTTCCAGCAATTCAAAGAGGATAGACCCTACTCCCCACCTGTACAGACCAGTATCTCAGCTATTAGAAGTAAGCGTTCTTCTGCTTGAGAGAGTATACAGAGGTTACACACCACGAGGCACCCTGTGGTTTTACCTGCATGACCACGGAGAGGACATGAGGAAGTGGGATGGAAAAGCTAGCTCAATCCTGGAGGCACAGGTACATGAGTTGCAAGGGAAAACAATCACAAATGGGAGCTCTTCCTGGAAAATTACTGCTCCAGTTTCCAGTGGGCAGCTCTGCAGACAAAGTGGAAGGGCTTCTGAACCTCTTGAAGGAACTTCTGATTTCTATTTACAAGAAGTGAGTAACAAGGATGGGATTTGAACCCACGCAGGCCACACAAACCCATTCATTGATAGCAGGTACTACAGTCAGAACTAGAGGGGCCCCTGGTGGAGGAAAGGAAAAACTGGGTTTACTGGTCTGTGGATTTGATGGCCTGGTGTATGAGTCTACCCTAATGTCATCAATCTATAAAGGGGCAGAACCCATCTGTATTTCTGGAGTGACAGGGGGCTCTCAACGGTTAACTGTATTGGAAGCTGAAGTGAGCCTAACTGGGAAGGAGTGGCGAATGCACCCCATCATGACTGGCCCAGAGGCTCTGTGCATTCTTGGCATAGCCTACCTCAGGAGAGGGTATTTCAAGGACCCAAAAAGGTGCTGGTGGACTTGTGGTATAATTGCTGTGGAGATGGAGGAAATTAAACAGCTGTCTGGCTAACCTAATCTCTTGGAGGACCCTTCTATTGTGAGGCTGCTGAGGGTTGAAGAACAGCAGATGCCAGTAGCTACCACAACACCGGCGGCAATATAGCACCAACTGAGGCTCCCTGATTCCCATCCATAAACTGATTCATTGATCGGAGAGCCAAGGAGTGATCAGCAGAAATCGCTCACCTTTTAAGAGTCCCATATGGCCAGTGTGAGATGGAGAGTGGAGGCTAACAGTAGGCTATCCTGGCCTGAATGAAGTCACACCATTGCTGAGTGCTGCCGTGACGGACATGCTAGAACTTCAATATGAACTGGAGTGAAAGGCAGCTAAGTAGTGTGCCCAAATTAATATTGCTAATGTGTTTTTCTCAATCCCTTTGGTGGCAGAGTGCAGGCCACAGTTTGGTTTCACTTGGAGGGACGCCCAGCACACTTGGCATCAACTACCCCAGGGGTGGAAACAGCCCTACCATTTGCCATGGACTGTTCCAGACTGCACTGGAACAGGGTGAGGCTCCAGAAGACTTGCAGTACATTGATGACATCGTTGTTTGGGGAAATACAGCAAAAGAAGTTTTTAAGAAAAGGAAGAAAATAATCCAAATCCATCTGAAAGTCAATTTGGCCATAAAACAAAGTAAGGTCAATGGACCTGAGCAGGAAATCCATGTTTTAGGAATAAAATGGCAAGATTTGCATCATCAAATCCCAACAGATGTGATCAAGAAAATAGCAGCTGTGTCTCCACCCACTAGCAAAAAGGAAAAACAAGCTTTCTTAGGCGTTGTGGGTATTTGGAGAATGCATATTCCAAACTAGATCGTAAACCCTCTCTATCAAGTGACCCAGAAGAAGAACTGTTTTAAATGGGGCCCTGAGCAAGGACAAGCCTTTGAACAAATTAAGCAGGAAAGAGTTCATGCAGTAGCCTTTGGGCCGGGCCGGGCAGGGCAAGATGTTAAAAATGTGCATCGCTGTGGAGCTGCCCAGAAGATGCTGCAGCCTGGTGGTGCCTTAGGCAACTCTTACATCTCAGAGAGGTGCTCTACACCCTTTCCAGAGCAATTAGTGATTGTCTTTTCCTTCTGGAAAGCTTTAATTACTGTAAATGTTCTTGGACTCCTCCTCTTCCCCCTTTTATAAAGTTACAATGTCCACAGGAACCCCAACATGGTGGACGGTGGTCACCACATAGTTAATTGCTACTGTGCTGGGGTGAGTGGGAGCATCTCCAACCCCTCCCAGTAATGAGGAATAACAAGGACTGGCACAGAGCCTCTCCAACACTCTATCCAGCAGCTCCTCATCTCCAGCAGCCCTCCTGGCACGCTCACTTCCACAGAAGAATTAACCCTCTACCTGCTTCTGCATCCATGCCTTGGCACCCGCACAGCCAGGGGAACTGGGAATGATGGTCAGGCTGGTCGGTGGTGTGGAATAGAAGAAGAGAGGAAAGGAAGGACGGGACCTTTCATGGACTCCTGTTTCCAGAGATCATGGAAACAAAACATTGGTTTGCAAAGACAAAACATTGGATTAAGGCAAAGAGAGTGGCCGTGGCCGGTACTCACCGGGGGGCAGGAAAAGCGTCGCCCGGATCCTCCCCTCTCGCACCGGGACTCTCCGCACCCCGTCCCGCAGGAACGCCCGCTCGTGCTGTGCCTGGGCCAGGAGCCGCCCGGGGGGCTCCCCGTGGCCATCAAACACCTCCAGCTGCAGGAGGAAGGGACGCTGGATGTCCTTCTTCACCATATACCAGAAAGGCTTCTGGGGCTGCAGAGCCCAGAGCGGCCCCATGGGCTCCAGGCCGGAGAAGCTGCCTCCCGGCAGCGCGGGGCAGCGGGCCAGGTCCAGCTCCCCGTCGTCCCCCGCCCGGTAGCGGGCCCAGGCCTGGAAGAGCTCGCCCGTCTCGTCCCGCAAGGACGTCCGCAGCGTGACGGGCTGCTGCGGGCCCAGGCCCCGCACGGCGATGGCCAGCGGCTCATCGAAGAGGCTGCGGGCGGCGGGCGAGAGGCGGATGGAGGGGGCCATGGAGGAGAGGCCGCGGGCAGGGGCCGTCCCGGGGCTCCGTGCGGGGCTGCGGGGCTGCGGGGCTGCGGGTGCGGGGCTGGGCTGGGGCAGCCGCTTCTGCCAGCCGCGGGAGCTTGCCCGGCACAGGGAGAGGGCAGTGACCTGCCACATGGCTCCTGTGTTGCTGCCTCCACTGCGTCTGCATTCAGGCTGGAGGTTTCTTCTATAAAACCAGCTTCCCACACAGAGGCGAGGGGAGGGGAATTGGGGCAGGAACTGCGTGGGAACAGACCATCCTTTCCAGGATGCCTGGAGTCACTGCTGCAGCCCTGTCAGCAGCAAAAGGCAGGGCAGGATTGGCACAGCCAGTTCCATGCCATTGCGGGAGCATCTCCAAAGGGCGGCAGCTCAGCCCAGACACTTGTTGACAAGTTGTGTGCTTATCTGCTGTGGTAGTAACCAGGGCTGATGGTTATTATCCTCGCAGGACTGGTTCCAGGCGAAGGCGTAGCTGTAGCTCTCCTCCCTGGGCTTCTCTCACAGGCTCTGTCTTTCCTCTGCTGAAGTTGGCCATGCTGCAGGCTCCTTTTGGAACGGCGATGGCCAGAGGCTCATTGAAGAGGCTGCGGGCAGCGGGCAAGAGGTGGATGGTGGCAGCCATATGGGACAAGTGATGTGGAAATGCTGGACAAGAGAAACCTCATCTGCCGTGACCACAACTGTGCCTGGTAGTGAAAGCTGGGAGCAATCTGTAGCTGCTCCTGTGATCCACTCAGCTGCATCACTGTTCTATTTAGACTAGATGTCCTGACTCCTGTGCCTGGGCAACCAGTCATGGCGCGCTGCCTCCCTCCTGCCCCAGCAGGGGTGGCACAGCCAGCTCCCCTTCCCTTTCTCCCTGTTGTGAAGCCAGTAGTCCATGTATGCTTCAAAAAGATGCTGTGCCAGTGCCCCAAGGGGCTGATTATGAGAGCAAATAGAGCTCTGCTGTCTCACAGCTTTCCTGTCCTGCACAGCTCCTCTTGGAAAAATTGGTGGTGTGCTCCCTGTAGCTACGTTTGTATTTCTGCACTGCTTGGGAGCATGTGAGGAAACCCTTCACATGGTCCTCTTTTATAGTATCAGGTATTCAGAGACACCAGGCAGACTCTCAGCAGATTTTCCTTGCCCATGAAGATTGGTTTTTCTCTCCCTGTGAAAATGTCACATGCTTTCTTACCTGGGATTTTTATGTGCAGTACAGCATCCATCCTCCCTCATATAGGAATTTCACCTCGTGTGCTCTAAAGATAAATATCCTGCTCTCAACAAAAACTCAGCTGATTTCTTCATTGAATTCTGATCCCATTTTCTCCCCGTAATTCCAAAGCAAAAAGGATACCGCATTCTTCTGAAAGAAGATTGTACTGACTGTAAATCAAGCAGAAGAACTTGGAGGATGACCAAGGCATCTTGGTTAAAAAGAAGCAGCCCCCAGTCAGAGCACATACTTCTGAAGGGGAGACAAACACAAGGCACAGAATACCTCATCCAGCAAGAAAAGCTGGTTCTCAGCAGCCTGAGAACTCTCAGCCAGAGACCCTGGCATCACAGTTATAACATCCCATATAGTATCCTTCCTTCAGCTGTGTGAGCTTTGAGACTTTTCTGTTTATGTTGAGGCATTCAGGATAAACCTGGTGAAATACCTACACTGAGACATGCGTTTCTGAGGGGGTGTTTTAAAATAGGAGCCAAATATATTAAGCATGCAGAGAAGAAGCAAACACTTTTTTCTCTTCTTTATAGGTATGAAACCCCAATTCTGCACAGGTCATAAGTCGTGGCACATGACATCTCCTGGGACTTTGCAATCTTGCACTTCTCACTGAATGATGGCACCTGGTGTGGCCACAAGCCATCTCTCCCTCTGTCCAGCCCTGCCACCGGCTCTCCATGCCCACACCCAGACAGAGGGCCTTACCCGTGCTAGGGCAGGCCCACAGGTTTTGGCTGTGCCGGTCGGGAGCGTGGATTACAAAATATCCTGGGTAGGGAAGGGCCTGGGAGTTTTCATTTGCCACTAATTCTTTTATCAGTTCTGATCTCTTATATAAATTTTGCAATCCAAACACAAAGCAGCAGGTGTACATCCTTTTAGAGAGGATTGCAGAACAGCTTCTTGGATGACTAGACCATATTGGGACTGGAAGTGTAAATGTGGTGAAATCTCTGCACTAAAAGATGGAGTTTGCTTTAAAGTAGGGGCTGAAGATAGGGAGACCACAGCTATATGAAGAGTACAGAAATTTATTTAAAGTTCAGAGGCCACCAGCGAGATAAATTAGCATGTTGTATATGATCTGTTCAATTAAGTTCAATTCAAATGCTGTCCCTTTTCTCAATGCCTGATCAAAAAAAGATCAGAGAAATTATAGAAAACGTGAACTCAGTTCTACTTGCAGCTGTAAGTATATCAAGCCCTGTTATTTGGGTTATAATGGTGCAGGTGTGAACAATATTCATTCAATAAACGAAAAAGTATTTGTCAACTCAGGTCCTTCAGGTCTGTATGTGCTTTCTGGTGGGGTAGAATAAAGCCTAGATCTCTTGCCAAGCATCATCCTTGTTCTCTGAATGAGCCTTATGCTGCCTCGTCCCCCATCTTAGATGGCCAGCTGGTTCAAAAGGGACTCCTTGCTCCTGGTGGAAAGGGGAGAAGAATATAACTAGCATTTACTTTCTTTGAGATAGCAAACATTTTTCTGGTTTGATTAATAAAACGCTTACCTTTGCAGAAATTATGTCTGCTCAGTGACAAAGAAGAAGGGCCTGTCAAGAAGAGAGATCTCCCCAGTACTTCAAAAGCTACGTTCAAGACTCAGTCAGTCAACGAACACTGAATTGAACACCACTCGAGGCAAACGCCAGCACAACTTCTTAGCTGGACTACAGCTGAAGGTAACTGGTGGAGACATTCAGGTACACTGAGAGATTGCACAGAGTACATTGGGGTGATGGCAGCCACCAGGGTTTCTGCTGCGTTAGCTCCAGGCGTGCCCACCCTCCCATGTCCCATCTGACACCCTGCCTCCTGACACCCTGACCAACACTGGCAGCATAGGCAGGATGCTGCCCACATTATTAGTGTAAGGAATGATTCTCCCAAATCAGACTGACATTGCTGGAGCCAAGGGGTGGCACAACTCTTATTTGCATTCAAAAGGCATTTATGTGATTGGCTTTTGCTGCCAGATGACGTGGACACCAAATGTCTCTGGCAATCCACCGGAGCCCTGGTATTGCTTACGATGTGTTTGCTGTCAGTGATTGGGTGAGTCATCATATGGGTGCATGGTTGCTTATCTTTCCTACTACCTCTACAAAGCTTTATTCTATAACATGTTACCAGACTCCGTTACTGTTTGGACCACACCATCCCAAAGAAAATGGTCCCCAGTGCAATCACAGCATAGCAAATACAGATGAGCCATTACCAAGTTGGGGCTCAACAGACCTAACCTCAGCTTCTAAGAGTTACTCATCTATCCAGACCATTATCTAGACTTCTCCTGACCTCAAACAGAAAGAGAGGGACCCACAGCCTCTCAGCCACCTCCACAGACATCCCTGCATTGCTCCACTCCAGCACTTCAGGCACAAGTGCTTCTGGAGGAACAGGCACATGTAGCAGGCATCCCCTGGATATATGCCAGGGATATAGCCCAAGCAAGCCTTGCCTTACAGCATGCAGAACATTCCCTTCCGTTTAGCCACGGTGTGGCCCCTGGAGGAGGAAAACTTCCCCAGCTCCATTAGAGCAGAGTTGACAGAGGGCTTGTGCCAGATGCAGCTGGAGCAACAGCACCTCATACCTACCCCATCGCCTGATGGGGCAGACAGGCTCTGGCTACTTGGTGACTCTCAGTGCTCTGCAGTGGGGAGTCCTCCTTAAAGCAGCTGGTTCTTCCCTCTACCCTCCCACACACGGGCAGGGAGACTGCAGCTGAGGGACATTCCCTGTGCTGGGAGATAGCAAGGCTGCCTGGGGCCTTCGCTGCAGCCCTGGCAGTGCCCATGGCAGGATGGGCTCAGCACAGCCAGTCCCCTGACACCCCAGGAGCATCTCCAAAGGCAGCAGCTCTGCCCCAGCCCTGCTGTCCCACGGCTGCACAGGCTGTACCTGCCCACACTGTCAGGCCAGCTGCCATGGGGACAGTTTCCAAAGGGCAAGTGCAGGATTTTGGGAGCAATACGCTGTCAGGCCTGCTGGTTGTTACCCGTGCAGGAGTGGACCCAGGGGAAGGCACAGCTGCAGCCCTCCTCCCTGTCTTGGGGCTTCTCTCACAGTCTCTCCCTTCCCTCTCCCATGCTGCAGGTTGCTTTGGAAAGGGTTGTCCCTTTGCTGCATGCAGACCCAGGGGGAATTGTCCCCATGGTCTGGGAGCACTTTGGGCTGGGCTGACTCCCCTGGACAGCCCAGGCAGCTCACCCAGGGGACACGATCCCACATGCAGCAGGGCATCACCATCATGGAACCAGCGTTGGGCTGGAGGAGAGGGAAGCTCCCACTTGTGTCCATCCCGGGGGCTTGTGATCTACTGCACATGGGGCCAGCTGCATGTATGGGGCAGCATGGCAAGGTCTGGCACAGAGCTCCTCTCCACTTCCCTCTGCCTCAGCTCCTTCAGGCCCCCCTGCCCCAGAAACCCAATGGAGGAGCATGCTTGGGGCTCTGGTCCCATCTTTCCCTTGGGGGAAGATGTTCTGCAGAAGCTCATGTGGGACAGGAGCCCAAGTCACACAGTGGAGGCATCCCAAGAGGGGCTGGTTTGGCCCTGTGCTGGGGTGGATACATGGGGCCATGGCCTGGGAGCATCTCAGGGGAGAGACAGCCCCACAAGCTCGCTGCTGTTCTTCAGGCATCTCCTGGGACTTGCAGTCTTGCACATCTCACCAAATGATAGCAGCTGGTGTGACACGGCCTGCCCCAAGGCTCCTGTCCCTCCCTCCCTCCGTTTCTGCCACCAGCTCTTCTTGCCCACACCCAGACACAGGGCCTTACCCGCGCCAGGGCAGGCCCAGAGGTTTTGGCTGTGGGAGCATGGATTACAAAATAGGGAAGGGCCTGGGAGTTTCATTTGCTGCTAATTTTCTTTTATCAGCTCTGATCTCTTATATAAATTTTGCAATCCAAAGACAAGACAGTAGCTGCAGCCCCGTACCCCAGCTTCTCTCCCAAACTTAGTGAATTTTGGGAAAGGCTGCCCCTTTCCCTGAATTCATACATGTGGGGAATTGGCAACAAAAGTTTGGGTGTTGAAAAAAACATACTGGAGATCACCTGCATGTGGTGAATAGGGTGAATTCAGACACTTACTACGAGATCTAAGTACTAGTATTTAGCACTTGGAGTATAAGGATATACCCAGGATTCTGATGAACTGAGTGTTTGACCAGGGATTGATTCTAAGGTATTCAGCCATCCCTTTCCCTCTGGCAGCCACTCTCAGGCTATTGACCAGAGCCCTGTGTGTGGTTATCATGAGGGGTGAGGTCCAAGAAGTGATGAGAGGAAAACTGCACAGAGGCCATGCCCTGTGGCAGATAATGTGTGATCATGTAGAGGCGCAGGGCTGTCTCACCCATACACAGGTTGCAACACAAGTGTATTCTTGCACTATTCCCATTTCCTCCCAGTGGAATTAAGGCCTGGTAATAGTTTTAACTAGCTTTTGGATGAGAAGTTTTCTGCTAGAATTCCAGGTGAATTTGCAAGGTACATTTCCTGCCATGGGCATGACAGCTTCACAGTTCCACTCACCTTCTGCAAACCTCTTCACCCCTGTGAGGTCATTCTGGAAGCCCATTTCTGACTGAACCGCTTTAGGTCGCACAGAGATGCCATTTGTAGTGCAAGGGAACAGAAAACAGAGCAGCTAGGGCCCTCCACGTTCTTGGTGGATATATCCCAGGGAGATCTTCTATATGTAAGAAGTATAGAGAAGATCACAATGCCAGTTGTCTGGACATGTTTCCCTTTCTAATGCCAGATCTCCAGTGATAAGGTGTGGCATCAGAAAGTTTAACGAGGGATCTCACAAGCATACATACATGTTATTAGTAGGCTCAAGGCTATCATAGCTTGTCCATCTGCTGCAGTGGAGCAACACGGGCTGGGTCACCAAACCTCCCTCCTTCTCGATGGGATCAGCTCCTGCTTGGAGGCTGCTGACCTCTGTGTGGGCATGGGAGACTCTGTGGAGTCTATGGACTGCTATGAAACATTATGAAATCAAGCAATTGCGTATTTTCTTTTTTATCAGCACCATTGCACTATAAAATTATCAGTACCCAAGAAGGGTACCTTTGGATCCAATATTATAAAAAGGCATAAAATAGTCATGCTCCAAATACTGTAATTTAAGACACTTCAGAAATCAAGGGAATTGACTGAACTTAAATTTGACTGATCTCTTTGTACTTGACTGCATACATACTAGAAAATGAGAGACCATGAAAGCAATATCTGTGTTGTTAACTTAGCAAATGACTTTCTTTTCTAAATTTTGCAAAAGATAGCATGTGCGTTTGGCCAAAGTATGTAGAGTTTTCCTTGCTAGCCATTGTCTGTAATATAAGGGTGGTCACATTTTTTTACCTTGCCTTGCATTGCAAAGTATTGATACTTAAGAAATATGGATATCTTCAGTGCTGGAGGACATTAGAAAAGGATGAATTATTGCTATTGCGAGTGTATTTGTAGCATTGTTATGTATTCCATATTACATTATTATGAATTCAAACATGCATGGAAAATGCATTCCTATTTTTATTTAGGGAGCAAAGCATGAAGCAGGTAAATTGGTTTCTTATTCTGAAACTGAGAGATCAGCTTGTCGCTAGGTCTGAAAGCCTCCAGCACACTTAGGCATCTCCCCGTTCTTCTCAATGGAAATCAGTGTAGTGATCCTGAAGGGAAGGCCACTCTACATCAAATGGTTAGTGACCCCCATCAGAGTTATCCCGAGCACGTCCAGGTCTGTGCTGTGCCACGCTGCACATCCAGTGTGGCCCACAGGCCTGAGCTGTGCCCCACAGATATCCTGGCCACAGGGAGAACCCAGCCAGCTCCTCCTAAAAGTGGAGCCCGCAGAGAACTCCCGCCCAGTACCTGCCATGACCACCCACCTGTGTGGCCTTACCTTTATTGGGCAGCACAGCAAGGCATTCTCATGCACACATTGCTTTCTGTTTGAATGTTGACATGGTAAATAGAGCTATTTCCTTATATAAAAATCTTAGAATACCTTGAAAGACCAAAAGGGGACAATCTCTGCCATGGTCCACCACGTCTCCATGGCGTGCTGCATGTGGGTTGGAGTTGTGTTAACATGCCACACTGCTCGGGGTTCCCAGCGCCTGAAGGGATGTAAGATTATCTACACTATTCTCTTCTTAGAGCATTCACTCTGATAAATAACATGTTTAATGATACCTTACAGAATGTGAGTGCCTTTCTTACTGGGATCATAATGGACCAGCACCTCCTAGTGCAAAACATCTGGCACAGTCGGCAGGTCTCAGTGAGAAATGCCTCTCTGGAGAAAGAAGAAAGGAGAAAAGAGACACCCTGCGCCTGGCTGGCCCCGCACAAATCTGTGAGGGGTATTTGGAAGGTGTTTAGCCCGGGTGGTTTCCCCAGTGGATTTAGAAACTGAGGGGGAATTACCAGAATGCCCCACCCCAGCGGATGTGTGATGGTGTCTAAGAAAACAGGAGCCAGGGAAAGGTAGACAGCATAAATTCTCAGCTTTTTGGTTGTTATTAGTGTGATTGAAATGGACATAGGGGAAATGGACGAGTGCACACGGGCTCTGCTTTTAGGACAAGTTGGCCGAGGTTTTTCCTGGGTCTTTGTGGCACAGCACAGGCACACAGAACGGTGACTGTCACCACATTCGCCTGTGAGTAACCAGAGTACTTCCTGCAGTAGGGCAGGCTGCTTTGAAACACCGAGTAAACACAGAGATGATTTACAGACTGTGAGAAAGTTCACTGCCTTCCTGAAGCTACTGAGGGTGTAGTAATAGGGCTGGTGAAAGGAAAAAGTAAAAAAAAATTAAGCGCTTCCATTCTCCAGTCACTCAGCCATGCAAAATCGCTCCTGGAGCAGGTGCCCATTTTGATCAGAACATTTGTCCCCACACCAAAGCCCTTCTGACCCCAGATGAGATACCGTGATGCAGACTGCCGATTTCCACCTCGTGGGTGTAAGGCAAAAAAAGACAGAATGTTTTCTAAACAAATGTATATTTATTTTGTTAAAAAACCAAAAAATTAGAGCTACACTTGCACCAGGGGCTTCTTCGTAGTCAGAATGCCCTTCTCAAACAGGAGCGTGGCTAGAGAAATCTTGTCCTCCAAGGTTTCACAGGGAAGGCTGTCCACGCTGACGTGATTTGGATAGGAAGACAGGAGAAATTCGATACTGTCCATGTACTCGGGATCTATCTCCAGGAACTTGGGTTCTTCCTTGTGATACACTCTTGAGTTTTCCGTCGTGTAGTACAGCATCACACCTGCTTCTTCATTACACAACCTGACGACGCCGTGGCGGAGGAGACGTACTTCAGTCTCTTTTGTTATCAGTATATCGACGTCGCGGGGGCCTCCGTCTTGCCAGCGGGCCGGGAAGCCGTACACGCTCTGCACCTTCTCGCTCTGCGTAAGCACCGGGGGGAGACAGTCATGAAGGAACGACTTGGCTCTCTGATCCACGGCAGCATCGATGGGTGCATAGCGAACGAGTTTCTTTATCAGGCTCTGTACCTTCTCCATAAAGGCCGTTCGGCGAGCATCGACCGCGTCCGAGTTGGCGACCCCCATGTAGCCCAGGTAGTCCATGGGAAGCCCTTGTCGGTACTCCACGTCCTCCTCCAGGGCCATTTGCAGAGCAGCCGGGAGGAGCTTCTCCAGGAGGTCCCCCCAGGAGTTCCTCTGGTAGGAAGACACCGTGATGTGGAGCGAGTGCGCGTCAGGGAGACAGTCGCCCTGGTGGATAAAGCCACGGGGGAAGTACAGCAGGTCCCCGGCCTCCAGCACCGTCTCCAGCACGGGCTCCCCAAGCTCAGCCTGCGTGAAGTTTGGGCTGGAGAACTGGGGTAGCACCTCGGCGTCCGTCCGGGGACTGTAGACGCGCCAGTGCTTCTTCCCCTCCAGCTGCAGCACGAAGGCCTCGATGTCATCGTAGTGGGGGGCGAAGCCCTGCGTCCCCGGTGGTGTGAGGTACGTGTTGGCCCCCGCCATGCTGCTGAAGTGCTCCTGCAGGATGGAGAGGAAGTGCCAGACGGTGGTGGAGAAGGACTGGGGGCTGAGGAGCCGCAGGGAGCAGCCGTTCTGGTAGAAGTCCCAGACGACGGCGGGCAGGGCCCGGCCGGAGGGGTTGTGCGTCTCCCTTACCCCTTCGGAGTAGCTGGTCACGTCCAGGTGGGTCCCGAAGTCCACCTGGCCACCTCGCAGGGCGGCGTCGAAGTCGGCGGTGGAGAAGAGCCCCGCGTAATAGCCGGGGTCGCCCCGTCGCACCAGCAGCGGCGCCCGCTCCCAGTGCCGCCCCACGAACTCCTCCGGCGGCACCGGCGACACCAGCCAGCGGAACAGCTCGGCCCCCCGCTGCCGGCTGTCCTCCAGCCGCCCCAGCC